AACATGTGATTACTATGAGTAGTCAATAATGTCATATTGAGAGATTAATAATGTTGGTACATAGCGATTAACGAAACTTCTCATTTTCTGCGTATAGACTTCGCAATGATTTTGTTCAGAAAATAAAAAAAACCGTAAGTTTTTTTTTTTTTTCATGCTTGCCGAGATTTGAACCGTTCACCCCTACCTACCTATTCTTAGACCTATACTACTGGGACACCCTATCGAAATATTTGGTTATAAATAAATTAGTAAAAGTAAAAGTAAACATTATACAATGATGCGTTTATAAATAAATCGGTGATGGTTTATTATATCGAAACGGGTGATAGCTATACTTGTATTTACAATACATTTTTATTTTTATGGTATATTATAATAAATAAACTATTCAGTATTATTAGGAATAATTTTCATAAATTATTTTGGTATATAATTTATGATATTCATATTTAATAATAAATACTTTACTACTTTATTGTCAAACATAAAACATAAAATGAAATGTAATAAAATAGCGTGCAACGACCACAAAATAAAATAATAAATCATAAAACATAACCAAATCATAAGTATACGACAGCGACCGTCGGGATGAAGAAAATATACAATATTCGATAATAACATAATTATATATATATTATTGTTATATATATATATATATATAACAATAATAATATATTCGAAAAGACGGCAATTAGAATGATACAACTTGATATGATTTTGTGGGTAAAACCCTTCGTGATAATTCTTATAATTTATTATTATACAGACGCCACGTACACAACAGACCAATAAATGCGCGTTATTCGATTTACTTTGTTCATCATACTATTATAGTCATTATAGGCATAATGAAAATGTTAAATATAATCTTATTTTGTAGATAATTTATATAGATTTACCAACAAAAATCCATGGTCCAATAATGGCTAGAGGCACGACAGGTTCCGTTTGTATCATTATGGTTATTACTATAGTCTATAACAGCGTTTCCCAAACTGTGGTCCGCGGACCTTTAGGGCTCCGCAAGTATACCGGAGGGGGTCCACGAAAGTAAATTTAAAATTTATAAAATATTATTATATATTAATGTTTTTAATTTTTATTTGTACTAAGAGGTCCGGTAGAAAAAAAGTTTGGTATTTCAAATTATGTTAATTGACTGCAAGGAAACGTTATATATATATATTTTGGTCTTGTAGCATATTTTTTGCTTAACATGGTCGTTACTCATTACAAACTGAACTACGCATGGAAGTCCTTAATGTAACTAGATTATCTCGAACTTCATGCGATGACTCATAGAAATTGAAATGTGTAGTCAATTTTGGGACCCAAACAGTACTTCGCATACAGATTAATAATTTACATTACATGTTCAATCCAAATGTGTCTACGTATGGAAGTCTTTTTTGCGATGTTTTTAGTGATGTTCATGAGATGGATAATGGATATAAAACGGGGAGGTCACATTTGAGATCTAAACAGAATATCATATAGTAGTGGAAGTCACACTATTGCACACCGGGTTATGCCAAAATGTATACTTTGTTTCATTGTATAGTACTGATTTTATGCAATAGAGATAAGTTTTATTGCTATTAACAATTTATAATTTCATTGTATAATGAGAAAATCCACATCCCTACATAGTAGTTTGTTTTATCGTTCACACCATCTACTGGCGCAACACAGTTCTCTAAAATCCATTTGTTTTTAAAACGTTTCATTTTTACTATTCTTATTTTATGCTCTTAACTAATATTTTATGATAGCTATAACTATAGTTCTATAGATTACATTGATTAATCATATTTGTAAATTTAAAACAAGAATTAATTCGTATGAATTTAAATACCTTGTAAGTACCTTGAAACTTGTATAATAATTGGTACTTTCCTGTTATACGAGATTACGACTGTTATCACGACTACCATCCAAGACTACCTCCGTTATAACGACTACCTTTAAATATTCGTCATGCATCACAATCCTGTTATCATAGACTACCTAAAATGGTACTTTCATTGTGTATTTTTTAATAATATTTATTGTGGGGAAAAAAAATGAAATAAAGAAAAAATGTAAATACATAGTAGTTATTCATAATGTATTTTACTTAAATTTTACAAAGTACCAAATTTTAAAAAAATTAAATAAAGAAAAAATTTAAATACAAAATACAATTAAAAAAAATGAATTTTTATTGTCTTTAAAATGTCGATGAATTTATATTCTTTTGTGTTTTGTCTCCACATGAATTCAACTAAATATGATTTTAGATGATGACGCGCAGTGCAACAATGTTTTTTATTCCGCCATTGCTGATCCCCATAGACGTTCTACACTTTGAGTATGTGCTCCACTTTGGGGATCTACAAAGTTTTTGCTGAGGTTTTCTGTAAAATGTTTAAAACCCGCTATTTAAAGTTCACTAGAGTTGTATGCCCGCCAACAATCAGAATAAATTGGTGTCCAAAATATCAACTTTCCGAAGTATAATTTATCGTCATGACTATTCTTTGTATTGTCTTTGCGTATGTAAAATACCGTGTTCCTGAAGCAGCTTTATTGCATCCTCTTCACTTTGAGATAGAGACCACATGTCCATATCGTATTAATTAATTAATTAATAAAAAAAATTAGAAAACACAATAAACGTAACTAACGATAATACGAGACAGACGAGACGACTGCAGCGAAATTACTGCAGAACAGTCTACTTTTAAAAAAAGGTAATAATATATATATAATATAATAAATATAATCGCAACTTATGAATATTGTTCATATCAGCTGAAAATTGAGATAGGCCTAAAATTCCCTAAAATTCGTTAAAATAGACCGGTTTAAAATTATGCCACATTATCCCGGTCGCGATAACGGAGGTAGTCTTGGGTGGTAAGGTACGGTTTCCAAGCTGTGGCTGGCCGCAACGATCAGCCGTAACAACTAAACGTTGCGTGCTGACTGGTTTCCTAAATACGACTAGACGTTGCGGCCGGAGTTCATTTTACCTTAATATTGTGTAGAGTACAGACGTGTTTTTTGGTAAATAATTTATTTATTATACTAGTTTTTTTGTTAATTGTTAGCTTGTTAACAAAGTATAGTGATGGAAGAAGTTATTGATAATATAATATAATATCTTTATGTATTCGTGGGAGCAATCATATAATACGGATTGCTTCTCAACTTCTTCCACCAAAACTTCATCATTGTTCGATGAAAATGTAGATTTTGACATAGTTTTTAATTAAAATGCAAAAAATACAATAAAACACTATATGACACGCACCACGACTCACGCAATGTACTGCTACCAGACCACTATAGCCGCGAGTCGCAACGACTATTTAAATCACGCAATCGTCGATTGCACGTTGGAAACCACGCTCCGCAATTTTAAATAGTACAGTCAGACTACGTGTGCCGTTGCGGCTAGCCGCTGCGGCCAGCCGCAGCTTGGAAACCGTACCTGTAGTCGCGATAATAGCCGTAGTTTCGTATAACAGGAAAGTATCATTTTTGTTGTCTTAGATAACAGGATTGTGATGTGATCAAAAAACAGGGTAGTCTCGTATAACAGGAAAGTACCTAATAATTAAATTGTGTCAAAAATCAATCATGAGTTTCTAAAATATTATTAACGACTATCGTTAAATATTAGTTTAAGATTAATACAAATAATGCAAGAATTATGTACTTCAAAATTCATTTTAAATTAATACTTTTTATGGAACTAAGATAGTTAATACAGTAATATACTACTTATTCCTAATGTTGAAACATACTTAATGAAAAAACTGATGGAATATTTAATTTAAAATTTAAATCATAATTTTATCGAAACTATTTGATTAAATACTCGTATATTAAATATAAATAAGTGACGATTTGTGATTAGTAAAATCTGTTAACTAAAATGTAGCGATTTAAAATTAACTTTTGAGGTATACAATAAAATGCTTTTAACACTCCGTAATTTAACAAGATTAATGGATATCAAGACGAACGTAAAACCAAACTTGACCAAACCTAATTAAACTTATGAAACATCACCGCTACGAGGTAATTTTAAATTAAATTATACAAGGTCTAATATGTACTGTGGTAAAAGATAAATTAGAAGGTTTAAATCAAATTTGTATTTCAAAAAAAAAAAAATTAAAACCTCATAACAGATGATATTATTTTTGTTGTCTGTATAAATATACTGTATATGTTCTATACTGAAATATGGTTATATTTTTAAAAACGAGACAAAGTGTTAGGCAGCTGTTTCGAAAATCCATTTCGTGTATAATGGTTGATATTATATTATATACACGAGCCTCATCGAAGCCGTACAACACGTCATCAGAACGATAAACGAAGTATGTTAATGTTATTAATATGTTAAAACAGATATTTGCTTGTACCGAATGTATTGATATATGTAAACTGTTCCAATATTTATAGTTAGTGCGTGTACCTATTCTACGACATCGTAAACACCTACCATGTCGAATATAATTTACTAAGTGGTACCCGGCGACCGTAGTATCGAAATATTTTCTTTCGGGGACCGGAGTGCGATTTTATCGATTTGCAAAACGCGATTGTGTATGCTCGGGCCATAAGAAAAACGGTTTTTGTAAATATTTTTTTTGATTCCAACCGTTGCACCGAAACGCGTATTGGGATCGCGTACGTCGCGTCGTGATCGATTAATTCGTACTCCCATCATTCTTGCTTGACTGCGCAGATGGTCGTAACAATGACACGTTAAAATATTGCACCGAGACCCTTGTGCAATGCAGTGACCATATACGTACGGTGGAAAATCGTCGCAGGTTGCCCCAGACGCGGTATTTCGGGCGCGCGCGCGCTCAACGGGCGAAACTACCGGTTGCCAAACTGCTTAAAACGGTCGGCGCGCGTGTGCCGCGATACCACACCCGACCGCAAGACGCCGCGTCACGCGGTCAACTCGTACCGTCTGATTTATCACTCACCTGAGATGGTTCCTGGGAACGTTCTGGATATCCTTGTAGACCATGTGAAGTCTGACCGTTTCCGACTGGCAATCGCTCCTAATGGACCACGCGTGCTTGTCCCGGTCGTAGCACTGCGTTTTCGTCGGTGACGCCACAACGCCACTTGACGCTGCTGGCGACACTCCGTGCTGGTTGATGCCCGTTATCACTATGCTGGATATCACTTCGCTGAGAGTGTTGGCCAACAGCATCTCGAGATGGACCCTGATCGTGCCCTGAAACGCCCGACGCACACAATAAATGACTGACAGTCGGATGTTCGATCGAAAGTGTTTATAAACCACGGAAGTGTACACTGCTGTGCGCATTTCTGTAACGCGTACCGCGGTGCTGGTAAATACCCGAAACAAGTTTGGACCTTTATCATTTCGGTCAATGTAACCGCACACTGTTAATTATTGTACCAATACCAAATCGGTATACCGTACGTGATATTGTACGATCATCATGGTTCGATGACGTTTGAAAAAAAAAAAATATATCAATTGGAAAGTAATAATAGATTCATTGATATTCTGTCGATTACAGTTTATTAACGATTCAAGCGATTTGACTGACGATATTGTTGACAATAAAAAATAACGTTCCGAAATAAGTTAGTGAATTATTTCATTACAGATGTGTAGTAATTAAATAGATTTCTATTTATTTTCACTCTGCTTTAATATTTTCACAAAGTGTTCGTGTAAGTCATGGAAGTGGGGCGCAAATATTGATGATAAACTGATTTTAAATAAATATTTAGTACAAGTAATGGTTTATAGGTGAGTACTGTTTTAAATCCAATTAAAATAATTTAAGCCAATTCTTTCGTAATAATCAGTTAAATACTTTGTGTTTAAATCAAGGACTGGAACCTATAGGTTTTTTTCAGTTCCGATTTCGGTTTTGGTTGTTCAATTAGTTTTTTAAGGGTTCTGGTTTTGGTTTAGGTTTTTTAAAAGAGTAAGGGTTCTTGGACCGGTTAATTTCGGTTAATTCTGATTATTAGAGATTTATTAAAAATTAATATGAAATTATTTATTTATTCTTATTTAAATTGTAATTGTTTCATTTGATATTAAATTATTTTATTTCAACTCATAGTAGAAAGTAAAATATTTTGTAATATTGTGAAATATTATGATTTGATGAAATAAATATCTTTAATTTAAAATTTTATTTTAATTAGGAATCAAAATTAATACTGGCTACTGTTATAGCTACAAATTTGTATAAACATTAATTATATTGAATACTTAATAAACAAGATAGATGATATACTCATTATAAATTGTAATATATTAATAAACATACAAAAATAATAATAATAATAATATTACAAATTTACTTATATGCACTATAACAGTTTACAATACAAAATAATAAAAACATAAAAATATTTGACTTTTATTTTTCTGATCCGACAAATGGACAAATAAAATAGCCATTACCATAGTTTTACTAGTCTAAATAACTGACCTAAATTAATCATTTTATAAATAAGGTTACGGTTACATTTATGGTTTTTTATTTTTGGAAATAAAGGTTTCGGTTTCAGTTATGGTCCCTAAATTTTAAAGGTTAACCGGTTCCAGTACCGGTTCTTTTTGGTAATGATTCTGGTCCCTGGTTTAAATAGGAATTTAACAATTTTATTTTATATTTTAATCGGCTAAATAAATTTGAAAATTCTTAGGACATTGAAAATTAAAGAAATTTTGATTTTTCTTTTGTTTCTCTTAAAATGTATACCATTTCTTTCGTTTTACACTCACTGTACCTAACTATAATTGATTCATAGTACATTGCAATTTGATACTTGAAACACCAGATAGTTATCATGATATCACATAATATTAATATATCGTAATCAATTAACCGGCTTTGGCAGATCATTTTAATAGAAAATTATTTACAGTTAAATGCCCATATAGACTTGTCCATTATATTAATTGTAGCACAATTATGATAGAAGCCATATTGTGGACAATACTACTACAATATCCATTACATAAAGGGTGTTTGTGAAGTACAAAAAACTACATTGTTTTAGATGTGTATCGATGAAAATACATATTAATAATTTTAGTTATCGATTAATTTATAATGCAATGCAGCGTGTAACTATTTATTGATATTGTAACGATGATAGATGAGTTTTAGATTAGAAGACTTTTAATTAGGCTATCGAAATATGTTTTGCCGCAGAGAGGTTTTTAATAAGTAATTTTTTATTTTAATTTTATTGAAACCATTTTTAAAGAAAATTACAACCTGTATGATTGTAATAAAATTAATAAAACTAAGTAAAATCAGATAAATACATTTTTCTTTGTTTAAAATATACGAATATAATATACTCGTATACTTTTAGTTAATGAAAACCTTATTACATAAGTGGTTATGAAATAAAGTTTATATAGTATAAATACCGCATTAGATATATTATTTAATGAATAATATTTAGATAGATTATGAGTATATTTCTTAGTGAAAATAAAGCTTAGTCAATGGCTTCATCAAAATAATTCGAACACAGCTTTTGCTGAACCACTTTGTTTTAAGATTTAAATAGTTCGAGGAATCATCTGGTCCATTAATAAATTTATAACTGGCATGACAAATTAATACTATTGATGAAACTTTGATGAATGACACTTTTGGAGATATAAAAGTAATATATCTTACTTTTTTTTTTTTTTTAGCTTTTACGAGCCATTTAGACTCTTTGCTTCTAACACCAGTTTTCCCCAAACATCTCTTGTGTAGGCTAGATATATCTTACTATAAAAACCAATTTAAAATATACCGAAATTTTTTTTTCAGTTTCTGCAAAAGTTGACGATATAAAATCTTCATAAATAACTTCTTTTATTAATATAATTTATAACAATTCTCATATAGAACTCGTATAATATGCAATAACTTGTATACATAAAAAAATAGTAGAGTGTCCGAGAATAATTAAATGTACTATAAATATACCTATAAGTTAAAAAATGGCATAATCAGTATGAAACATTGAATAATTTTAACCAAGTGTTCCGATATTGAACAATTGTTAAGTAAAATGTAAAATGTTTGCTAGGTATAATCTAGACATTGGTACATTTTTGCTTTAAAAAATACATCAATTTATTTGTGTTACAAACATTTTTATCCATCGGATTTCTTTAGATGCATATAAATGGCCTAAAGAATAATTTTGAATAGTGAAACTTTAATTTATATTAGTTTTCATAGATAGACAATGCTTTAATGGAAAACAATTTACGTACCAATGTCATAATTATAATGCTTTCTACGAAATATTTGTAATTTATTATTTTCGTTATTATAATAGATTATTGAGAGTACTTGTTATAGTTGTACAGGTATGAATGACCTTTGGGTTGTGTTTAAGATTCCTCTGGGGATGTATATATATATACGTATTTTTGAGGTCTGTATTAGGCAGCTTATTTATACATTAGCAAATTAAGGATTTGCACCCAAATGGTTTATTAGGGTTCTAGGCGTTTGTTATATTCAGGGTATTTAAATGCTATTACTAAAAGTTAAAATTATTTAGTTGTCTGTTATTGGTCATGTTTATTTGACTAAAAAATGAATGCCTAAATAAATTAATTTCAATGAATATTCATTATGTATATGGTAAATGCTTAAATTAAGAACGTTGATTATATATGTATCAAGAAGCTTAAAATACATGTTATGTCAAAATGAATAATACTTCCAAATATACTAAATTATCAACTGTTTTTTTTTATCATATACAATTATATAACAAAAAATTAGAATTTAAATTTTATAAATATTAACACTTAAAGCATTTAAATCCCCTTAAAGTTGTACAATTTTGAACTATTTTAAATTTTACAATTATTGAAATAGAAAAATATAATAGTATACATTCATTAGGTCTACTCTTATGTACAATGTGAATCCTGAAGTACAGAACAGAAAATTATTAAAAGTTTTAATTATAAATTCACTGTGGTCATTTCGCCGTGAACCGTTTCACCATAGTCGAAAATTATGTATAAACTCAAATATTATTTGTTATATTATTATTGGTATTATTAGATTTTCCTTATTTATCTTGTTTTATTTTGAAATGTATACATGTCGTCCATGGTTTACGACAATGATCAGGATTACAAAATTCGTATTAAATGTACATTTAATGTGGCAATACCATTAATCAGTTTTCATCTGGCGACAAAACTTGTAGTCAATTTGTTAGATAAATAAAATGAGTAGGTAAAACATAATGGAAACTCAAGTAATATCGACTCGTAGTCATAAAATATTTGTGTGTGTTGGCTTTATGTATGTTTATAATAATATTAATTTTAATTTGTTTCAATACGGTTTTGGCGTTGCCATATTAGACATTTTTGTGAAGTGCGAATTTATACAGAAATAAATAATTAAAAGTCATAAAAACTATTAATGACCATTGTCATGGTTCAAATCGTCAAAAGCAGATGTTGCAGTGACAAATCTAAAAAGAAAAGCTACTAAAAGTGTGGAGTATACGTCTATTATGATTAACATGTGTGTTGCTCCATTGTCTAAAGCAGCCAAAGTAAATAATATGAATATAAAGATTTTTAAATTTAGGTGAACATTTTATTTCATAACTATTATTTATCTATTAGACAATATTACAAAATAATGTGGCATTCAAAAAACAAGTTCGGGGCAAAAGACAAAAAATTCTAGGTACACCTTAAAATCCGAAAAATTTAGCCATATTAGAATTACCAGCTTCATATGGTACACTTCATCAATAAGAAATTAATAACTATTTTTGCAAGATGATAGTGGTCCGGGTCCGAATAGAATATTCATTTTTAGTTGTTATCGAAGCCTTCATATATTACATAGCTCTAAAATATGGTAAATACTATTTACTAAATAGACGGTACATTCAAAATTACATCTCTTCTGTTTAGTAAAGTATATTTAATACTTGCCGAATATCTAGAAAATTTATTTTCATTATTATATGTTTTATTACCAGATAAACAATCAAAAACTTAATATAAAATGTTTTCAAAGTTAAAAAATGTAAGACCCAATTCAAATCTATTTCTGTTTGAATCTATTTCTGATTTAAACAAGCCCCTATAAATCTATAAAAATAGCATTTCTTAACGTTCAAATATTTTTGATATTTATTTCATTTGACAAAAAATTTTAGAAAACAACTCGGAGAATTACATCTCATTTCTCATCATAATAATATTTCCAACTTTACAGTTTCTGTAAAAATCATTATAGCAATTGGCGTTTATTAAATTAGAAAATCTTGATGTTACTGTTGACGCATTGGCCGAGTACCTTGATGAAAAGTTTCAAAATGTATTAAAATGGTGTAAAAACCACAATATTGGGAAGATAAATAGAATGGTAGAGAAATAGTAGAGGTAGATGCCACGCACGTTTTCCACCTGATATTTAGAACCTTCATAATAGAGTTTTAAATTCCCGAGATAGGACTAATAACCATGCAGGAGCTGCTAATAAACGAATTAATGTTGAAATGGAAGTATGCCATCCATCCATCTGGGCTTTTATTAGTTGTTTAAAAAAAGTTCAATCTGGCCATAATTATTTTTATTCTCAGTTAACTGCAGGAAAAAGTCCACCCAAAAAATTATATCAATTTGCCGACTTGGATAAACAAATCTTAAAAGTAGTACAATATTATAACAGTAGAGACTAAATTTCAAATTTGAAAGGCATAGTATATAATAATATTATATAATTATTATTATAATATTTTACTATTATATAATATTATTATTATTATATTATATTATATTGTATTATATATATTAGATATCATCTCACAACCATGATTATTGATTACCTTATTATTATTACGAATATGATAAAATATACAGTTAATGCGTTATTATTTTTTAACCATTTATTATTATTATTATTCTATTTTTTTAATTAAGAATATCAGGAAAATATTTAAAATCCACGGCTAAATATCCTCCCAGCGAAACGGTCACAGCGAAATGACTACGGCGAATTGTCCAAGATCCTTTAAGTATATTCTATATCTTATTTTTCTCCGTGTGTTTTAAAACGATACCGACCAATATATTTGCCCATTTCACCTTCAATCCATTGCTAATGTCTCCCTTTCAACATATTCTTTTCCTTTGTCCTCCCACACATTATTCTTGATCTTCCTAATTAAGTTAATGCTGCAACAGTAAATTAGATTGACTAATTATTTATTTTTAAAAATGAGCTTTTCGGTGGATAGAGGAATAAACAATGTTTAATATTGGTGATTGTGCCGTTAATGAAACATAGTTTTTTAGATGCAGCAACAACTGAGGTATTCAATTATGAATAAGGGAAGTAAAGTACTTATTTTTCTGTGTATTAAAAGTATTTTTTGAAAGGTAAAATCATATTTGAATTATTCATAAGTTAAAAGTTATGTTAAAGTACTAAACAAAGTTTAGTATAAAGAAAAAAACCGTATAACATCCATTTTTTTCTTTATATTTATCATACTTGTAGTATTAACAAAAGCCATATTCTAAACTACTGTTCTTCGAACAAAATTAATTCAATAATTTACACAATGAATAATTATTTTAAAAATTTAATCTTTTTAACATGCTAGTTGATCGTTAAAAAAATTACTTTATCACAATTAACTGCTGTCAATGTTCACAAATAATTTATTAAAGCTCTACCAGAAAATAAATATTGACATGAATGAAAAAAATATAACTTATATTTATAGTAATATATTTATACTTAATTTCAATTTACACGATATAAGTATACAGTAAATTTCATTTATGTTTTAAGCCAATCAAAAAATGTATAAGTATTAAAATGTTTATTATTCATACAAACATTATTAAATATTTAATTTTTATTTTTTAAAATGCAATATATTTTGTTCAGTAATATTAAGTTTTCAATAGAAGGCAATATTATAAAAAATTTTTTTCAAAATTTAAATATAATAGCTGAAGTTCACTTCGAATAAAATATTCTTAGAAGCAGCAATCAACAGGTTATTTTTGTTTAAAAATAAAAGAAAATATTTCTAGAAATATTGAATTGTATTATTACAAAATTATTCTAAAATTTTAATAAAAAAAAAGTTAGCATTTTTAATTTAATTTGATTGTATATGTTTAATATAAGTTTTCATACAATCTAAAAAATCTTCGTTATAGTGATACACGATTGAAAATAGTTTATCATAGTTTTATTCTTTAAATGTTAATAAAAATATAATGTAAAAATGTAACATAGTTAAGAAAGTATTACATTTATGTAACATAATAAACTCTTTGAAAGTACTACTTTTCAAAGTTATTCTCAATTTATTAGTTATTTGCTATCGGATAATTGAAAACTTTTTTTAAATCTATTTTCTATTATTGTTTTTGTATACACTGTTTTTTGGATTTGGTGACAATATATAATATTTACTTCAATAGACTTTTTTTGTTTTATCATTGGTAATTTAATCAATAAAATTAGATTTTGGATCAAGACGAAGTTGTTTTACTAAAATTATCTTTTTATTTTTTTTTCTAATAATACGATGTTTAACTTTTTAGTAAGGAAACTACCGGTTTTAAAATGTACCATTAGATCAAATACTGAATATTTAAGGCTCATTAAATACTTAAACTATATTCTTAGTACAAGTAGTTTATCAATATACAATACCACTTCGGAGTCATTATAGAATATACCTGTAATGACTCCAAAGTGATAAATCATGCTTACCTGAGGTATCTCATAGTTTTTTGTTATATTGATATAATTGAGTCAATTATAGACTTAAAATACATTTGGATTTATAAAAAACGATTAAGAAAAGTTACAACCAATAAATAACTATCAAAATTCTATTATTTTAATAACTCAATAAATACCATATTTCAATAAATTAATTTAAAAAGTCTACAAAATACAAAATAATACCATGCAATAATACAATAATAATAAATTTATTAAATTAATATATGGTCAAAATACTATAATTTATAATTATTAATATTTGTATCCATATTTCCTTTTATGACTTGACTCGTTATTAAATATTTATGTATTTATAGCATACTCGTTCATTGTGCATAATTATTCAATATACAAAATAATAAAAGTTTTACCTTTTGCTTATACAATTTTAATAACCTACACACTTATGTAATTATAAGGAGTATGATAATTATAAATTAGAATAACAGAAAGTATTAACATAATCCAGATACTAGGTACAAAATGTATAAGTGTTTGTTCCCAAATCAAAATTTATTGATATTGATTTAAATCAAGAAATGGTTGATTTTTTCATATCGATTCCAGAAAATAAATATAGATTATTTACACTTATCTTAGTTTTTATGACCATTGTTAAGTCTGAATCCTCCAAAGAAATATCTTTTGAAAACCTTTGTATTAAACATCATTTTTTATTCTATTTAATATCTGTACTAAATATACAAACAAGATAAATACTTAATTGATATATACAAATGAAATATATCTTAGACAATTCCTACTACACTTGTGCTATGTACACCATTTTAAAATTAAACGATTGTATATTTTCATGTTTAATTAGAACATAAATATGCACCAAAAACATTGGTTTTAAAAAAAAATAAGTAAAGTAAAAAATAAACTAAATTATTCGTTTATGTATGGAAGTATAGTAAAGTCTGTCTAAGATTAGTTTAAAATCCTATTAATAATTTATAATTTGTCTAAGGTGGAATTTTATTTGGAACAATCACAATTAAATAGAGGATAATACACTTAATAAACCACAAGTTATATATATATATATATAATAAAACCATTTTGAATATAAAGTTATATTTAATTTTCACTGTTTATTTCCAATTGTTAACATGGAATTCTTTAATCTAACCGACCATCATGTACGAATAAAAATAATATAAAACATAAAAATTATTTAAAATTATTGATTCAATTTATTCAAATTTCTATACTAATTTAATTCGTTACCTTGATAACCAGCTCAGAAAACTTATATCTGGGATGCCAGCCATAGCTTTTTCCATCTGAGTCGGATACATCGTCCAATATTCCAGAGTCCAAACGTTTGTCTCCATCGCCCAAAACTAACATATAACGAACACGGCATTGATGATCGAATCCCGTGCATCGATTCAAATACACTGATATACGACCTTCAGCAGAAGTACCTACAAAGAAATTATATTGAAATACTATTTATAATTTATTTAAAAATTGTATGGCTGATTGATCATAATAATATACAAGATTACAATAAATAATAATTTGATACGCATTATATTTCAAGACAATTACAAATGCATATATTTAAAAAAAAACTTCTTTCTGCCATTTATTACTTTTTTTGATGTTCAAAAAACTTTCAAAATATATTTTTTACAGTGGAGAAAACAATTTTAAAGCTTGCATTTACCGATTTACCATTGATTATACAAAATTCCTACAGTAAAGACACTTAGATTAATTTTAATGGAATTGTTACTCTAATATACCTAAGCTAAAATAATTTAAGCTTATAGAAGTAGGTGTGTAGTTAGATATAATTCATATACATTAGCATAGAAGATATTTTTATACATTATGCGTTTAAAACCTGTATCCAGCAATAATACATCAATGATAATTAACTGTATTTTATATATTTATTACTATATTTGTTAGAACAATGATCTAACACAATTTACACTTAACAATTAAAATGATAAATTAATAAAAATGTTAATATAGAACAAGCTGTAGTTAAATAAAATATTGGCTCAGGGCTTGGATCAAATTTTATGTAAGTAATAATATTTGTTTGAATTTTAAAACGATGATAAATCAACATATATAAATTAAAACTCGATCAAAAATTGATGTAATATATAAGTATCGATATTCGTTTTGTCTAATATTGAACTGTGACTGAAATGTAGAGTTAATAAAAAAACGTTTTAGAATCAGGAATCTCATTATTTATTTACATTTTTAAACTTGATTCCTAAGAAATTGATTCAAAATGTAATTCTTTTAAGGTCCGACGGAGTTCTCTGCAGTTTTAACAGGAGGAAAAAAAATGATTCACACAGATATTGTGGTAGGTGTGTACACACATTAACTGAATGGACTACGATTTATCAAAAAAAAATTTAGTCAAAAGAAAATTGGTCAAATGAGATATCACAGAAGTAAAAACAATACCTGCATTTATTCCTCGATTTAAGTAGTATTTAAATAACCAAAAAAAAAATAAATAAAACTAAAGACGTAGAATTCTACTAAGCCATATAATTTCACATCCTATAATTATGGATCTTGTTATTTTATGATCCATAATGCCTAAATTAAGAATACATTAACTGCTTCCCATTAATATTATTCCATGAGAAACTCAATACTTCTGTTACCATCAGAATGCGCTGTATTCATATAAGAAACTGAGAGTAACTTAGAGTTTCATTTAAAATATGATTTATTCACAAATATACCTACTAGGTTATTTTATATGTGTTCATCCTAAGCTAAAACCTAAAACCATAGTTTCTCATTAAAATTCGTTAACAGATAATAATAATTTTACCTTTAAGAAAAACGAAGAGAGACACTATTTGTTAAAAGTTAAAAAAAAATAAAGCTAAACGAAGTCCAAAAAAATTGAACAAAAATTAAAATATTTGTGCAATTTGATTGTACAGTAAATTTTTCTCCGATTCTAGGTTAATATAAAGAAATATCCACATAAGGTTTCGTGAATTTTATGTACATGTTATTGGAAGGAAGTGATGTTTTTTTATTCCGAAAGCTAAACAAAGTATGTATGAACATATAAACACAAAGCAAACAATGTTGATATTTACGAAAGTGTATATAAATTATTTGATGTAGGTACAAACAGTGTCATGTTTGCATTTGTTAATTGGAAATTATTCTATAAAATATATGAATTTCTTAACATTTCATAGTAAGTATCAAGCAAAATTAAGTATAAATTTTTAGAAAATTACTTTATTTAATGAACAAAATTTAGTAAATAAGTAAACAATAAAATTAAAATAATTACACCTCATAGCTAATCAATTCAAGAGTTCATATATAGAAATCATTATTGAATTAATTTTAGGTAATGCTTGAAAGAGCATTAATTTGACTTATAATACGAGTAAACAATAGTATAAGGATCAAGATAGTCTCTAATTTAATTCAATCATCCAAAACATATATAATGTATAAATATATCCACAATCAGTTACTGGCAACATGTTTATTTAACAATCAAATGATAATTGTAAACAAATAAATTTAAAAAATACAACTAAAATATTTTAAACTTTAAACAATGAGCTAGAATTAAAATAACATAAATTGGTTATTTTAAAAATTTTAGATTAAATTATCTTCTAAAATGTTTATTATAATTATTTATGTGTATTAATATGTATTAAGTTATCAAATTGAATATTGGTTACTAACTCAATATTATCAATATTTTGAACAATAACTGGAGGTATAAAATTTGTAACGTATATATTCATTATTGAATTTAAATTCAATTTATTTTAAGTATAATATTCCACATAATAAAATTATCTAATATTTAGTAATATATATTAGTATGATATTTTAGGAATTTAACATTTCAAATAATTTTGAGCATTCAGTATATATGAATAAATTAATATGTAATTTGATTAATTACGTCTCATTAGAACATAGCTTTAAATTGTGTTAATATATATCTTATATCTAAATAAAACAAAAGTGTAAATGTATTAAGAATTTTGACTGTCACCGGGATTAGAATATTAAAAATGATCACTGTTTTAAGATAATTGTTGAATACGCGTTCATTGAACTTTATAATATGCAAACAAAACAGGATATATTAATTGTTTTACTCACAATTAATATGCGTTATAAACTTTAAATTAAATTATAAACTTACTTATGACTAACAATTATCATAACATTTATAATTACATAAATACATGTCAGATGACAGTATGCTATGAGAGGAATATTTTAGGTGTAATATCACAAATAGTATTGTTAATTTCTCGCTTGTTATTCTGAATATGAAAGATTTTTATTTTAAAACTTAATGGTTTTTTTTTTTTTTTTATATATCGAAAAAGTCTTTTGTGACACTATAACTACTCGTATTTCAAATATATCATAAAACAAGGCTATCAAAAAATTGGGCATTGAAAATGGATCATATGGTACTTGAAAAGTGTTCCGAAAAACTAAAAAATAATATGGGAAAATGGTGCAATGATATATTTTTATTTTTGTGTTAGTGATTAAATCTTGGATAATAAATTTAAACTAGCAGTGTCATACTACATACTTTTTCGATAGAAATAGGATATGGTTGGTTGTTAAAATAAAAGTGAAATTTCTCAATTATATCAGACTATATGACTTAGCATAAAGAAAAACACTAAAAATATAATTCAAAATTTTGTTCTACGATCGTTTATATAAATTATACCAATAAAATTAGTTTAACCATTAAAATGGTTTGGATATAATAATTATCCTTAAATTATTTAAGTACTCAAAGTTTAACCTAACCTAAGCATTATTAGAAGAATTGGCCCAATAAATTTCTTTGGTCAGTAATTAAAATGAAAAATATAACCAAATCATTGATTTTTGTTTATTTTTATTAATTAAGTTTTTTTTTTACTTACGAGAATATAATGTTTTTCTCTAATTCATTTAATTTTTTCAGAATTGTTTTTTAAATACGATCATTGAAATAAATAAAACTAACAAAGTTATGATTTAAAAAAAAATGTTATATTCATACCTAGAACTCTTATTATAAAAAGAAAAATAAGAATATTTTTTATATTTGATGATGATCTTTAAATCAAAACCAATCGTAAAGATTATTAAATAATTAATTATAATAAAACAATACTGCGTGAAAATGATGATAAAAAATAAAACCATTTTCAACCAATTAATTTTTATCCACATTTTTATATTATAATTTCTAAGGTCTTTTGCACAGGATACAATCATGATGTTTAAAGATATACTACTCGTATGTTTTTAAAAATTTAACAAGTGTAATTTAAATGCAATAGAGCATGCCTCTCATAGCATCACTACGTCAAAACAATTAAAAACGAGTAACAATTGTTCAGAGACTTTCTTACAACCATTTTAATTTAATGTATTCATTCAGTTGTAAGATTCGATTACAATCGGGTTCGTCAATTAAATGGCAATTATTATAATTCCTTTTTTGTTGATTAAATCGTCATATGTATTTGAGGTGGATAACTCGATATAACTCACATGTTTGGTCTCCGTCTAACACAAATATATACGGAATACCGAATTTTGTTTCGGTAGAACTAAGATTTTTGACTGTCATATCGATCTATAATATAAACCTCAAAGAGGAGAATGTTATCCACGTGTTTTTGTCGGTTTTCAACGATATAAAAATGTCTAACTTAAAAAAAAAACTGTATAATTGTACATGATCAAATTTACGTGCAAATTTCGTCGTCGCCTTAGTCACCAACGCTCGTGCATTATACAGACTAATTTTATGATCGGCAGCACGGTACTTACACGACACGTCTTTGACCCCGTGCGGGTACAGGGCCAGGTTCCAGTCGAAGCCACCAAATGTGAAGTAAGACGTCTCCAGCTTGCACTTAGTGCCCCGGGGTGATGCGCTGCCATACTGGTGCTGAAGCGCGTTGCCGGCCGCGGGATTATGGTGGTTCTGGATCTGATGGTGGTGGTGCATCAGCCGGGACGTGAGTGACGTGGGAACGCGGAACTCGGTGTCGTACAGCGTGCGCACGTGACCGATGGACAGCTCCAGCTGGAACTCGCCGTTCGCGTCCGTGAAGTTTCTGCCATACAGGTCGCTAACCGGTATGTAATTTCTGTTTCCCTGGGCCGGACAGTCCGTCGTAAACTTTACCTGCGGGGCAAAACGAAGCAACGCACGGGTTGAGAAACATCGTCGTTAACTAGTGTGTACGATAATCGCTGTTTTCGCTGCATGCATATAAATATACGGGTACAAATCCAGTACGTCCGCCTATGCCCCGTCCAACAACTACTCCATCACCTACCGGCGTACCAACACCCCTTGCTCGATCCAACCCCCACGGAACCGCAAGAGCTGCGACGGGTTAACACGGGCTGCACGTACCGGTCGCGGTTCTCGAAGTTTAACAACGGTTTTACGTGTAATAGTTATTTAAGTGCGTCGTAATAATTATATCGTCGCGGGTGTCCGAAGCACGCACGTACGCACGCATGTAATCACGCGCTCGATGTGCGGATCGAAGTATCGTAAGGGTGGCAATGTGCGCTGAACGAAACACTAAAACGCGCGTTTGAGGGATAAAACAATTAGCCATAATTATTAATTCAACCTAAACCACTTTGGTTAGAACTTATTCGTTTCGATACAAACCATAACGTTGTATAAATCGATTAATATAGTTATTACGCGCTACGACGTGATTACTTTTCGTTTAGATTTTTCCTATTTCTTTCATTGTGCTGGACGAATAAAAATAAATCATTTCCGATCGGTCGTTTATTTGTTGGGCATTTCAAACAATGATTGTGTCTTCAAACATGTTGAGATGGATGCAGGGTTTTAAAATCATGCAAACCGAATCGAATACGTGTACATATATTAGATACGTCGTGGACGGTTCAACGTGCCTCGACCGCTGGACGAACCACTATATCGATACGAGTCGTAAGATTAATTAATTAATGTTTAATTAATGTAAACAACGTAAAATACTCGGAAACCCTATTGTTGTGTTTTAAAAATTCTCTATTCTAACTTTATTCTATTAACGATTCCGTTATTCGCAATTCATCGTAATCGTAAGACCACGTATAACATACATCATTAACAATATTGCGCGTACACGTTTGCTTTATACATACATAATAAACGGAATACGGATGAACGGGGTGCGTGGGCCCATCTCTCTCACCCTCTATCATTCTCTCTCTCTCTCTCCCTCTCTCGCTGAACGCGCCACTGCGCACACCTGTGCAATACTGTAGTTAACCCATGCGCAAGCATTGTAGACAACGCCCCCGCACGGTGTTCCGCGGTCATGGCGCATTTCCATGCGCTTTCACGTGTTCTCCTACGGATGTAACGATCACATTTTCATTGTACATACCACGCAGAAATTTGATGTTCCGTTCCGGTGACGGTATACTCGTGCGTTTTGCAATACGTGAAGCAACAGCAACGGCATCGTTATCCCTTCCGCAAGAGGATTTATAGGAGCTCTCGGGGTAGTAATGCAACAGGTGTAGTTGCGATACTAGGAACGCTTTCGTTCATGCACCCTTACACCTTACGGTGTTAAACATGTATCTGGTGGATAAAGCCGTAAGACACTTCGTTGAAATCGATTTTATTTTTTTTTAATCCAGACACGAGTAGATAAAAATGCGGGTAGTAGGTCAAACTTTTTTCTTTTTTTTTTCGTTAAAATTTAATGTTTACATTATGCTTTCGGAAATAAAATGATAAAAAACACTACCTTCGGTGTACGATTTGCAACTTTAATACTATGGACGGATTGGTTTTATCTAATAAAAAATGAAAATAAAATATTAAAATATGAAAAATAAGGACAATTTAAAAATTCAAAACTTAGGGTTCAAATGTCCGGTTATAAATCTAAATTTGAAGCTGTATTATGGTATAGGGTATTCATATTCACAACAGGTCGAAATATCATTGGAATTCCTTTATTGAAGTTAGAAATACTAATTTTTCATAAATGTACACAATTAAAACCTGACAGAATATCGATTTAATTACTAACTTAATACCTTCAATCTAAATCATTCAACAAGTATTACAAAATAAACACCTTAATACGTACACCAATAACATAATAATAAATAAGGCTGGAAATTTGATGTAAATCTAGCTTTTTTTCTACATTATATTGATCAAAGTTAAAAAATTGCAATTTGTGATGTATTCAATATGCTAATTAATACTTTGTAGACTGTATAATTAAAAATTTAGTATACTTAACCTTTATTTATCATCAACAGAAAAAATTTAAGGACAAATTCTTGTTTAAAATATTTATCATTGCAAATTTTATTTATACATTTATATTACTTCTGTTGATGCTATTTAAACGTGAAATAATTAGCATAAACTTGATTTATGTATTTTATTTGAAAATCGCAATGTTTCAGCCATAGATTTAAATAAATCATTAAGTAAATTATTAATATGTTCACAATAATATTAACACTATTATAGCTCTACTAAAATATGAAAATGTTTAGCATATTATTTTCATATGATATTTAGACTAGGACTTAACTTTTAAAAATCCATTAGTTTATCCATTAATTCATTATTACAATGGTTTAATATTATAATTATATAGTATTTGAATGAGGAACTTTTATAATACGTTCAACTATAGGATAATTTAACAATAGGAGTGGCAAATAATTACAAACATTGTACTCGTAAATTAAAAAATAAAAGTATAACTATAAGTTTTATAATTATGTATAATACATAAAATATAAAATATTTTTCTATAGCAACGAATACATTTATGTTTGTTTGTGTATAGAATAAGTATGTATTATACACACACATTTTAAAAACATAACTATATGTATTGGAAATCATGATTCCACCAAGTAAAACGTAACTGCATGTCGTGAACTGAAAACTCAAACTAAAGTATAAGAAAAATATATTATATATAATATATTGTGATAAGTGATTACGAATATTATAGTTAATTAACAACTATAAACATAATATATTTAGGCGAAGGTTTTATTTATTTGTAACCAAAATCATTAAAAATTATCAATTGCTTAAGAATTAGTAGATTTTTTCGCATAAAATTGAAAATTATAATGAGTAATAAAATGTCTAATAAATTAACTTGTAAATGTATAATTAAGCTCTTCCTATATTTACCTTTTTAATATAAACTGTACCTCACATGGGTGACAAAATAATTTTGAATGTTGAAAATATGACAGTTATTAATTCTTTTATCGAATTTAACTCAAAATAATGTTCGTAATTTGTTGAATTTTGTTACCTACAAATAATAAAGAAACGATTATAATTACAAATAACACTATTAGATTACTTTTTTGTTCACTATATGATCTATTTATAAAGATATTCTCAAAATTATATTTTTGACAGTATTGTTAATATTAATCTCTTGTATAGAAAATCACTTATGTATAATTAAGTTAAAACGAATTATTATTATAAATTATTATATATTATATAAAACACATGTATAATATTATTTTGATTACAAATTATAGTTAAAAATTAGTGTTTATAAAAATAAAAAGAGAATTCATAAAAATGTTATGGTTTGATAACTAGATTTAAAATATTTTGTATTCAAAACTCGATTTTCTTACGATCAGAGTTGGGCATAATTTTATCTAGATAATTATTCGAATAAATATGTATTCGATTAAAAAATGATTCGAATAATTTGCGATCATAGTGTTATTCATATTACAATATCATAAAATTATTATTTAAAATATATATATATATATATATATATATCTAATTCTTCACTTTCTTCTATTAATCTATATTTGTTTCATTTATAATATTTTTAAATTTTTTCGAATAAAAAGATTTATATTATATAACTTTTAAATGCAATGCAAACTATTCTTTATAAATTATAATAGGTGCTTGTTTTACATTATGAACCCTATGTTTACCCAAACAAAATTAATGAAAACTATTCGAGTATATTTTTATTCAAATGATTGTGAAAAAAATCATCCTAATAATAATTTATTCACATAAAATGTTATCTAAATAATATAAATAACATTTTATTCGAATAACGCCCTGCTCTGCTTAGGGTTGGTTTAATAATTAATTTAAAATTATCAGACTATATATTATTTACGTAATTATATTGTATTTTACTAAATACTATTAGGTACTGATCTACGATGAACATAAATTATATATTCTCATTTTTTAATTACATTCAATAATTGTAAGATGTGATACAATATTTAACAATCACATGTATTGAAAAATATAAGTAAATGAAAAAATCGTCGGTATCTTTTGTATTGTATATTAAATATAATACTTTATCTTTTTTTGGTTTTATCTTAAACAATATTTGAAAATTACTAAGTATCTACTAACTTACTGTTCCAAAAATTCTTATTTACCAATAACTCCAATACTTCTTTTACAATTATTAATTTATATACCCTTGCATTGGAATCTATTCTTAAATTATGTCATACATTTTTTTTAAAAAAAATACTTAAAACTGTTTTATTATACTAACAACTCGTTTATAAATATATTATGAACAAATATCGAAAAATATTACTTGTCAGTTTGATGATTAAATAAAAATAACAAATTGTCAAATCTAAATAAAAACTGTCCCTTAGTGTGCCTAATGAAACAACCAACATCGAAAACGTTAATAAACAACTAATGTGGAACGTGATTTAATTGGGTAGAAATTATGATTAGAAACATGCCATTATTATATGATGGACGATCCCTATGGCAGTAAATAGCCAAATTTCCGTGACAGTGTGATAAATTTATCGTCCTCAGAACCTCCCGTGAGAATCAACAAGGACGTAAACCACGAATATGGAACGCTGGGAAAATTCATTCGTTGGAGGGATTGTATATAGAAAATAAGCAAAGAAGGAGGGTGTTAGAAAATGGGTAATATAGGCTTATGTATAGAAGGAAATCTAGACTATATGTTCAGGTGAATAATTTATCGAACGTCCTACCATAGGAATTATTCAAACAGGTACAAACATGACACAATTTCCTTTTATTATATTATTTTATAATATCTTCATTTCAATAACTGATATAATCTATGTAGGTCAACTTGTCACCTGAATCAAAATAAGAATGAATTGGATTGAAAATGTCGAAAAAATTAATGAGACATCAAAATAAAACACAAACATTGTATTTGTGTATCCAAATAATTCAGACGTGCCGACCTATAAATTAAAAAATATATTTTCTCATCCTTCTATAAATAACCGTAAAACACATTTAGTAAAACAATAAATACATTTATATTTACAAATTGTTTTTGTATAAGAAATAATTATATAATACAAAACATAAATAAATATAGATATTTTTTGATTTATTAAATAAAACACATTTTACCATGATTATAGATTGTAATTAAAAATAGTAATAAAATATAAATTTTATAAAAATATTATTATTTTATTGAAAAAAAAAAAAAGCAAAAACATTTTAATAAAATAATAATTAAACTATAATAGATATATTTAACAAAATACTTAGTTTTGAAAAATATATTTGGCCTAAAATAATATACTTTTATACTTAACGAAATACAATGGAGTTTGCAACAGGCCTTATTGATCTTAAGGAATATACCAAAAAAAAAAAAAAAAAGGTAAATAAAAAATAAAGCATTCCATAAATATGAAACTTAAATCGTTTATTTTTTAGGAATAATATTACAAAAATAATTTTTACCGTTCATGAGCCGTAATAAAAATGTTTGAATAAATTTCTACTTTATTTTTATTCTTTAATGCTTTTAATTTGAACTTAAATTTTTAAATTTAAATTTTTTATTTTAAAATGAAATCATTTGATATAATACCTATTAAGTTATTAATAATTTTGTTTGAATTTTATTAACTTTAAAAATATTTTTTAGCTGTTTCTTAAGATAAGTTCAAAGTAATGGTTTGATTAATAACGGAGTCCTTTTTTATATGTAATATGTATTAAATAAGTCATTTTGTTTTTCACTTTTATTTCTTATGTATATTTTATCAAACAAAATCTGATATATTTTTATGATGTTTAAAATATGGAGATAATCTTTACAAATATAATTTGATTTTAAACGAAGCTAAACATTTGATGGGTTTTCAATGATGTATGAATAATTTTTTTTTTATTTTTTTTTTTTTTTATGTATGTTTATATAAAACATCTACTCCAATATTTATCTTAAATTTTTTTTAAATATTTATATATTTCAAAGTTTCTTTTAAACCCTTTAAAATTAAATAAATGTAATCAATTCAAGTTTTGAATTAAAATCTCAAAAATTCTATAAATAAATAATTCAATTTTGATCATAACAATTTATCAAATTTTAAATAAATCATTGATTTTGACCCTAAAATTGTAATTTAATACTGTTAAATAACAATAATAATATTAATAATGTATAGTAGTAATAAATACATTATATATATATATATTAATTTATCATATTTTTGGAAAAATAATGGTAAAAAAAAATATTTTATAATCAAATACAATTTCTGTTTGAAAAGATATTAAAACAAAATTAAAGATATTTATTGTTGGTTTATCAAACTTTAAAAACATTGCAGCCGGTACAATTTATTGATTGATATTAATTACACCCATAATAACTAGCCCACGTGATTTCATTAATGCAGATACGAGCAGTTGACGTTTCCGACCAAGGTCTTATAAGGTAAAATATTATTTACCGTTTACGTATTGCTATTTATGGTACAACTTTCCCGTACATAGTAAAAATATTTGAAATATGATGTAGTAAGCTGAACATATTTTAAATGAAATGACATCTACTTACTTGTTTACCGGCAAACGACTCATTGACGCTGAAGTGTTCGCGGTTGAGAATAGTGAACGCGAAGTCCACGTAAACACGCACAGACTCGGAAGCGCTCTTCCACACCAGATAGGCACCTAACATCTTATCGGTCCGCGAGAATGTGATGGACCATTTTTGATGGCCGCATGCAAACTCTTTGGATGTAACGTCCCGATCGGGGTCGCGCGTTACCGATTTGGTCACCACAAACGTGAACACGTGGGTCTGAACGCGATCAGGCAACTTAACCAACCTGTACAAGAGAGCCATGGTTGAAAGATGATCGCATTACTTGGCCTGTAAACAGAACATAACGCGTTGTAGATTAAAACCATCGCAGTGCATCGAGTATGGCAATTGTTACAGTAACAGCACGTGTATGGTTTTTATTTGATATCGTCTTTGTTTGATGTGAAACATAAACAATACATATGTATATTATATCTGGAAATGTTCGAATACCCTTTTTTAAATACAAATAGAACCCTTAAGAAAAAATGTCTATAACCTAACTATGTGTCTGATTGTTTTCTATTCAATAGTTCTATTATCTGAAAAGTAACCAAATTTAATTGATTTAATTTTGGATTCATCTTCGAACGCATTTTAACAAAGTTTCTATTGGTGGACCAAGTCACCTATATTTGTACCTATATTTTATAGTCAAACTCAATATACTTTAAAATTAATAAATATTTATTTCTAAAAAATATGCATAAGAATAATAGTATTGGATACGTAATAAACAAAAAAATAATCTACTCAAAATAGCATAAAACTTTTTTTTTTTTGGGCTATTAACAATAGTGGCTATAACATTAAGAGATATCATTATGAAAAGTTTGATAAGTTTTTTATTAGATTAAGATTGAATTATAATAACAATGGGTTTAATTAGTATAATAAAAAAAATACTGAATAAAAAAATATTTCAGCACCATGTTTTCAATTACGATGAATTTACACAAATACCAGTGTAATAAATATATAAAGTTCAAATAAATACGACTAAATACAATATTTTTGTATAGAAATATTAGATTTTTTTTTCTGCAATGTTATATTGTATATTTTGAAACCCAAATCTGTCATGAAATACATATTTACGAGTACAATATATGTATCATATATGCTCTATACATTCAATGTAGAAAATATACCTAACAAAATTTGATTTATATTTAAGTCACTAAAACTAGTTTAGGTGCGTAAGTACCTTAAACCTAGTTTAATGTATTAACAATATTATTTATTTCAACCGCATAAACTTACATTGACTAGCTAATTTAAGCATATAGTATTTTCATACTTAAATAATAATTATTCAAGAATAATATAATATTATTTTGGAATTATTCTAGTGTTCTTTATACAGAATTGTATACAGAGTTAAAATTATCATTAAAAATAAAATAATTAATAATTTTGAAATATAGTAAACATAATTGTATAGATTAAAAAATGTAAATTAATTAATTGTTTGCTGATCACAGTTTATCTCAAAGGTTTTAATTCATTTAAAACAATTCATAAGGTTTTTTTTTTTTACACAATTTTTTGACTGTTTTTTGTTTATTAAGGACTACGAAATCCCATCAAAAAATTCAACTAAGTAGACTTAAAAACTATTTCATAACCCATTTGTTATGCTTATTTCATTATATTTTTGAATTAATAAGTGTCAGGAATTTAAAAAAGAATAATAATTATTTTAGATAGGATCAAGAACATTCTTATCCCATTCGAAAACAACTTTTATCATAATATACAAAATATGAAAATCAATTTATTTAATATTAAATTCATATTAATTTTTATTATACTGAAATTAAATTAAAATATCTTAGGATTTTATAATTTTTGAACTACATTAATTATTACTTTTATAACAATTCTTTGAATGCGAATAACGATATATAATCAAGTAAAAGATATATATTCATCATCTCCATTTTACTGAAGTGGCCACAAAATATAGTTAAATAATTCTGTTGTCTCGATACGAGAAATGTTCTTTTAGTATACTTTACCCTGAATTATAAAAGGTATATACTTAGTATAATATTATGCAACATATATTTATATCATCACTTTAAATAATACAATAATATAAAGTAAAATGTATTATAACTGACAAAACATACACACACACACACACCGATACAATTAAATGTAAAATTTAATATACAATATTCAGATGGTTATAGAGTAATACAGTTATCTTGTCAGACATGAATGATTATGTGTAGACTGTTACAACATTACATAACCCAATAATTTAATTAATTTAAGTTATTGACTTATAATTGTTCTTTTTCATAAAGACCACGTTAATTTAAATAATTATTATATAAAATATCTATTTTTTTTGTATAATTAATATACGCTATAAAGACTATTATTATCATCAATATAAATAACAAAACTGTATATCATACCAACTGTTATCATAAACTTGAAAATATTGTATGATAAACAATCATCAAAATGATTTATTTGTAATAATACACTTGTCGTGATAATTTTTTTCTACTAAACAAACTGTACAAAGGGTTGCCTCTAGGGAAGGATGACGGAGTCTTCACCACTCTAGGCTCTACGCTTAGTTCTAAATTTACATTTCTCCCGTTTTCATCAATAATAATTTTCATAAATATACAAAGATACTTACATATAATACTTACTTAATATTTTAACAATAATTATAATAAAATCATTATTTTGAGGGATCCTTACTATTTATATTTTTTAAATTTTTTTAACTCTTAGTTATCTTATATTATGTACAATAGATATTATAATTATTTTAGATTTAAATATATATTTTATTTTGGGTGCATATCTATTATGTTATATGCCATATTATTTATTCCATTTATTTTAATAAAAAGTAACTGTTATTTTTTATTTTCAATCTCTTCAGAATAGTTTTTTTTTATTATTTAATATTAATCAAGCTCTTTATTTTGTGTTAATGATTCCTTGAGTTATAATAAAAACATAACATATTCCTCTATAATATGGTACATTACTAATGAGCTTAAATTGTATACTTCTTCAGGTGATAAAGGACAAGAGATGAACACATTTGTTCTAGTAATCAGTAGGCACTCCATCACCTTAAATCTACACCATTATTTTGTGAAAAAATTTTATTAATATAATTTAATGAGCTATTTTAAATTCTTATTACTTATCATTTTCATTACTTCACTAGCATACAATAAATGTGTTGTATTTTATACTCATCTTGCGTTATTTTTGTAACAATATTTACATCATTAGCTTAACTATACAAATATACGTACACAGTCAAAGGAGTTAAATTTAATAAGTACATATTTCAGATAAGTTCCTACATAAGTTTTATATGAATATAAAAACGTATATGAGGCCAACAATATTTCTCTTTGTAATATAATGTAAAATTTATATTTAATTACTTGTACGAAAAGCAAAAAAAAAAAATTATATTATACAATAAAATTAAGATTAAAAATTATATACATTTTTAATCTTAATTTTAAATTAAGATTTTAAATAAAATGTTTGATAATCAGCACTAAAAGTAGAAAATAAGATAAAAAAAAATAGAGGACTTCATTTGTTTGGTAAAAATCTCAATTTTCCTGTATGCTAACAAGGAATATATATATATATATATTAAATGTAATGAAATAAAATAGATAATTCAATTTTGTTCTAAATGTTTAAAATAATTCATAATCTTTCTAAATCTAATTTTAGCGCTAGTAATTTTAAAATGTAATTACCTATATTAATTGATGTATCAAATGATTATGACAGTAAAGAATTAACTAATTGTATTTAAAATCAAGCATTGGGTGTGATATATAAATCTTAGAATAATTTTGATACAATTTAGAAAATATATTTGAGCTAATTAAATATTTACAAAACTAATTCATTAGTTCACAATGCGGACAATATTGCCTTTTGGTCGGCGATGATCATATGTAATTGTAGTTATGAAGTGTGATATGAATAAAAGAAACACTATATTGAATTATATATTTATTTACTCGTATATCTATTATACATATTCTTATTTTTATTTTTAAGGGGCATCAAACAATATTTTGCTTCTTAAAGGTTTGGCAGCTTTAAGAATGTTGAGGACTATTGAATTAATTCAACGATTTTTTTTTAATTCTGAGTTTAACAATCAATCCTTTGAAATAGGTACTCTTATAAAGTCGGTACACTATTAGAAATATTGATTACATTTCGCAAATTAACTTCCCACAGCTTGTGACAGTGTAGCAAATACATTTATGATTTTAATATAACAGTCAATATTAATTTTATCGACAACGGCTAGGTTAATTTTAAGTATCCGCATTGTTAAAACCAAAATAGTGCTTTTATGGCCATTTTTTTTTTTTATAAATTATTATGTTTATATTACAACAAATATATTATTCAATATAAATCGTGAAATAAGATCAAGACTTATAGAATTAATTTTATTCATTCGTTTAATGAATAAAATTTCAAGTAAATGATTTCATTGTAATATATTCCAATGATTCTCAAACTTAGTGGCGTGCTTTCCTTGGGACACTTCAGAACTCAATATAGGTGGTACAGAATAAAAATGTCATACATTTATTGTTGGACCATTTTATTTCACAAATAAAAAAATTTGAATATTTAAACAATAAAGATTCAAAAAATTAATTGTAACCAGTGACTTATTTTATTTTTCGTAGAAGCCGGAATAATTATATTTTATAATTACAAAGCCTTGAATAAAAAAACATTTGGAAACCACTGTTACGTAAAAGATTACTTTAATCTCAAAACCATGTTTTATTAATAGTGTGATTGGTATATATTTAGAAATATAATTAAAATAGTTATCTTTGTTGTTATTTAACTATTTTCTGAACGTCTTTGCTGGAAAAAATTATGGAATTAATCCACATATTATCTAATGCATTTTTAATTAGTTTTCATTATTTTTACTGTGAGAATTTAGTATAATTGTGACTATACTTAAATTTAATAATTAATAAGAGTTAAAAATAAATTTTATTAGGCTATAACTATTAAAAAATAATTGTATTTTGGAATATATAAAATATATTAAAACTCCCATATGTGTTAATTTAGAAAGGTTACGAAAGTACCTATTTTGTTTTTAACCAAATATTAGTATATTATATTAGCTAACATATACTATGTGCATTTTTGATCATCTTTAGGAGTCATAAACATCAATAAATTTTTTCTTAAGCATTCTCCAGTAACTCAAATAAAAAAATTATTAACAA